CTGGTGTACGCCTTTCCCAATTTTGAACCATGCACTGTTTCCTTGTTCTGTTCTGATGACTGCCTCTTGGTCCAAGTATAGGTTTGGCATTAGAACGATCAAGTGTTCTGGGATTCCATTCTTCTCAGAATCAGACACAGTTTGTTATGATAGAGCAGGAAGAAAAAATGTCAAGGGGAATTTTAATATTATGTCACGAAAATAGAACTTTAAAAAGTAAGGGACCAAAGGCTAACTTTGAGGAATGCCTATATATTAAGTGCAAACAAGGAAAGAAGAATGAGTTTATAATACCTTGAAAACTTAGAACATGAGGAATTGTGTTTGTAAATACTCATAGAGAAGGAGAGAGAGAGTGGAAGGAGAGGCAGAGAACTATAGGAGGAAAGTGGGAGGAGAATGGAGTTTTGGTGGGGAGAGACAGAAAAAGAAATAGAAATAGAGTGTGAGGACAGTGGGGTTTTTTGAGAAAGAGAGGGAAAGAAATAGAGATGGATCAATAGAAATAGAGAGCTAGAATGGGAGGAGAAGTAGAGGACAGGAGATATTTTTTTAGGAGGAAAGCGAGATACAGAAAGAGAGAGTGAAAGGGGAGTGGGAGGAGAGTCAGAGGAGAGTGGGTTTGGCTGTTTTTTTATAGAGGGACATAAATAGAGACATCAATACAAATAGAGATGAAGTGGGAGGAGAGTGGGGCTTTTCTGAGGGAAAGAAATAGAGACAAGAGAGTTAGAATTACAAACAGGAGAGTGGAGAATTTCACTGACTAAAATCTATCACCCTCTCTTTTCAGTGTAAACAGCAAGGAAATGAAACATCAAAACGAATCCAACAAATAACAAAACCAGTCTTTTAAGTCCTGTTTCATACAAATATACATACCTACATATTCACACAGATATAAATGCACTTCTGTTGCTATCCTGTGCCATCGAGTCAACTCCAATTCATAACGATCCTGTAGGACCGAGTGGAACTGCCCCATAGTCTCCAAAGCTGTGACCTCTATAGAAGTAGACTGCCATCCCCATGGAGTGGATTCTAACAGCTGATTCCATTAGCAGCTGTGTGCTTAACCACTAATATCTATATACAGACCTAGCAGAAATATATACAGATAGAGCAGATAGGTACAGAAATATATATGCACACATAAAACCCTTGGAACTTTCATAACAAAGACCAAGGAGCAAATACTTCTTACCTTTGTCTCCTACATGGTCCTTCACCCATTGGGTGGCTGCAGCGATGTTCTCTGTCTGTGTGACATCCAGGATCACTGTCTCCAGCCTGTCTTGACGTCTGGTCCCTCAGCTTCTCAGGCCCCTCCTCCGTCAGACACGCACCCTCAATCCACGCAGGTCCAGCTGCCTGGTCAGTAGGTTCCCAAAGCCAGAGTCACAGCCCGTGATGAAGACATACTTGTCTCACAGATGACTAACCACCTGCCTCTCCCGGGACCAGCACAGGAGATAGTACAGGCTCCCAAGAACCACCAGGTAGAGCCACATGGTAAGAGTCCTTCCTTCTTTGAAAAAAAGAGAATGGTTTTCATTTTATTTCTTATTACCTTTAACCACTGTTATTATTTCCTGGAATTGTTATTAACGAAGATCAAAGATTTCAGTATGGATTACTACTCAACATAAAGAAAACAAAAATCATCACAAATGGACCAATAAACAGCATCTTGATAAATGGAGAAAAGACTAACGTTGTCAAGTATTTCATTTCATGGGAGGAAGAAGAAAAGGGAGGTGGAGAGGCACGCTGGGGGAAGTAAGGAGGGGAGAAGTTATAAAACAAAATCTGTGTGACTAGGTGTAAAAATTAAAAGATATAAATCAATGCCTTCAAATTGTGCTACTGGAGAAGAGTATTGAACATACCACGGACTGCCAAGAAAACAAATAGGTCTGTCTCGGAGAGGGTGAAACCAGGTTTCTCCCTGGAGGATAGGATTTTGAAGCTCCATCTCACATACTTTGGACATATGACAGTAGAGACACCATGCTTGGAAGGGTGGAAAAACAGCACAGGAGAGGAAGACTGGGGTGACATGGATGGATACAGTAACTGAGGCAATGGGGGTCTGTGTGTCAGAATTAATGATACTGGCTCAGGATAGGACAGGGTTCAGAGCTGCTGTATACAGGGTTGCTATGGGTCGCAGGTGACTTGATGGCACATAATAATAACACAAAAATAATTTTTAAAAAAATTAAGTATAAGGGAGTTCTAGTGGCCTAGTAGCAAAAAATTGCGTGGCAATCCCAAAGGCACAGGGTTTGAATCCGCCAGACACTCCACAGGAGAAAACCCACTGGAAGGTCAGCTATGGGCCGGTTCCGACTTGATGGTACATAACAATTCATTTCACTTGGATCCACAATTGAAATCCATCAAGAAATCAAACAATTCATTGCATTGGTCGAATCTGCTGCCAAAAACCTCTTTCAAGTGCTGAAGAGTATTAACTTTAAAGATTAGGGTATGCCTGACCCAAATTATGATATTTTCGATTGTTTCATACGCACGTGAAAATTGGATAATGGATAAGAAAAGTCTGAAGAAGAAATGATGCTTTGTTTTTTTTATTAAATTTTATTAGTTTTAATGAACATTTACAGAGATTTTGGGTTTTCATTCATTCATTGTTGCACTGTTTTCTCCATCCTCCTCCCCAGTTCGTTCTTCTTTCACCCTCCATGTCTGTTTTAATTGTCCAATTGCCACAGTGCTTGTCAAAGCCAGTTCTGATTAATCTCCTTTGTCAGTGTGTCCTTTGCCATTCCCTATCAACCTTTCCAGGACAAATCTGTTTGTTTTCCTAGCAGTCCATGGTAGAAATGATGCTTTGAATTGTGGTGTTGGAAAAGAATATTAACATACCATGGACTGCCAAGACAGCGAACAAACCTGTCTTGGAGGAAGGGCAGCCAGAGTGTTCCTCCGAAGGCAAGGATGGTGAGATTTCATCTCACATACTTTGGGCATGTTCTCAGGAGGGGCCAGTCCTTGGAGAAGGAAATTATGACTGAGAAAAAGAGGGTCAGAGAAAGAGAAGAAGACCATAAACTAGATAGAATGACAATGTAATGCAACAATGGGCATGAGCGCAGTAGAGATTGTGAGGATGCTGCAGGATCCAACATCATTTTGCTCTGCTGTACATAATAAGTTTATTATGAGTCTGAGTCCGCATGATGGAACCTCACAACGACAATCAGGCACTGTATTAGGTGCTGGGATTCCCTACTGTGGGTAGAAAATTGCCGTAAGGTTGGTGGTATTGTTAGGAACTGTTAAGTGGAGCATGATTCAGAGCAATCCTATGTACAACAGATCTGTACCATGTCTTACCCTGTGCCATTCTCAACATTTCTCACATACGTGACCCTTTACTGCAGTGACTGTCGATCTATCTCATTAAGCGTCTTTCATCAACCCTTCACTTCTCCAAGCCTGATGTCACTATCCTAATGACACCATAGTTCAAAGGCATCAATTCTCCTGTCGTCCTTATTGTCCAGCTCTCAGATGCATAGCAAGTGACTGAAAAGACCATGCACTGAATTAGGTGCACCCTGCAAGGTCCCCAATTGCAGAGTTTCCCAACACACAATATGTCTCCTGATCTCCTAACTTCTGGTAGCAAGCATATTGATGGTGGATCCAAGTAAGATGAAGTCACTGACAGTTCACATCTTCATCTATCATGATGTTGTCTACTGGTCCAGTGGTGGGGGTTTTTAATCTTCGTGATGTTGAAATGTAATCCATATTGAAAACTGTAGTCTTTGATCTTCTGCAGCAAGCACATCACATTTTCCTCACTTGTAGCAAGTAAGGATGTGTCATCTGCATGACACAGGTTGTTGATGAGTATTCCTCTGATCCTGATGACACACTCTTCTTCATATATTCAGCTTCTCAAGAGATTAGTTCAGCATACAGATTAAATAGGTATGTAAAGAGGATACAACCCTAACTCACACCTTTCTGGATTTTAAGCCATGCAGTGTTTCTTTGTTCTGTTCAGACAACAGCTTCCTGATCTATGTATAAGTTTGACATAAGCACAATTAAGTTTTCTAGGGTTCTCATTGTTCTCTATGGTAGCAATAATTTGTTATGATTCAGAGTCAATAAACTGTGTGTAGTCTTTGCATAGTCAATAAAGCATAAATAGGCATTCTTCTGATATTCTCTGCTGTCAGCCAGGATCCATTTGACACTCTTGGTGATATTCCTGGTGCCACAACCCAGCTTGAACTCTGTCAACTACTGTTCTAGCTATTTTTTAATGATCTTCAGCAATATTTTGCTTGCCTATGATATTAATGATATTGTTTGATAATATCCACATTCTGTTGGATTACCTTTCTTGGGAATGGGAACAAATATGGACCTCTTTCAGTCAGCTGACCAGGCAGCTGTCTTCCAAATTTCCTGGCATAGACTGATGAGCACGTCCAGAGCTACATCTGTTAGCGGAAACATGCTGATTGATATCCCATTGATTCCTGAATCCTTCTTTTTTTTGCCAACACCTTCAATGCACCTTGAACTTCTTTAATCACCATCTAGTTATATGGAACTTTCTGAAACATCTCAGCATCAACCAATTCTTTTCTGTACAGTGACTATATGTATTACTTCCATCTTCTTTTTATGTTTTCTGGACCATTCAAGATTTTGCTGATGGCATCTTTCAGTATTTTTTCTCTTCCCCTCTCATTCTCCTTCATCCTTGGTAAATATCAAGGAATGCTTCTTTCTTTACATGTAAATACCTTTCCTTAATGTTTTACCTTAATTGACTCATAAAATATTTGTCTTTTTTTGAGACTGACTAACTCAAAAAAATTTTTTTATCTTTATTCATACCATGTGAAGCAAATTCTTTGTTACTCTTTCTTTTTCAGTTTCTTTTTTATTGATATTTTAATGAAAGTTTACAGAAAACTTGGTTTTCCATTCATTCATTGCTACACATTTTCCTCCCTACTCCCATCTCCAGCTCACTTTTCTCTTTAAAAAGATTCTTTCATTGTTGCATGATTTTCTCCCTTTTTTCCCCCACTACCAGTCCACTTTGCTATGCACCTCTTATTCTGGACTGTTATCATGCAATTAATAACTAATCATATATTTCTTTTAGACAGTTCTTTCTCTCATCTATTTAAATGTAGTGTTCATTATTTATCCCTCTTTTCTTAGTTTCCCCCCAACTCCCATGACAGTCAGTCCTGTTTTATAACAGTGGCATTATGCAGTATTTTTCCTTTTGTTACTGAGATCTTTCAATCCACATAATGTCCTCCAGGATCACCCAGTTTGTATAATATTTTATGAGTTCCTTGTTCTTCAGTGCTGCATAGTATTCCATTGTGTGAATGTACCACAGCTTCTCTAGCCATTCATTTGTTGATGGTCTTTGTTATTCTTTAATGTTGCACAGTGTCCCATTGTGTGTCTGTACCATGGTTTGTTTATACATTCATCTGATGATGGACATTTAGGTTGTTTCCTTATCTTAGTTGTTATAAATAATGCTTCAAAGAGCATGTTCATTTGTCTCTGTACATGTCCCAGATTTCATTCCTTTAGGGTGTACCTGGTAGTGGGTTTGCTAAGTCAAATGATATTTCTTTTTCCAACTTTTAAGGATATAGAAAACTCTTTTCCACAATGGCTGTAACATTTCACAGTCCCATTAGCACTGTAAGAAACTTTCAATCTCTTCACACCCTTGCCAGCATCTGTTTTCAGTCTCATTGTATTTTTATTTAGTTACTGTTGTGAGATGGTATATCATATTGTTTTTATTTGTATTATGCAAATAAGGCTATTCAAAGGCTTTTGACTATGTGAATAATAAGACATTATGGCTGATATTGAGAAGAACAGGAATCCCAGAATACTTCACTGTACTCATACAAAACCTAGACCAAGAAGTTATATACAAAGAGAGCAAGAGAACACTGCATGGTTAAAATCAAGGAAGGTGAGCATCAGGGCTGCATCCGTTCTCCATACTTATTCAATCTGTATGCAGAACAAAACATTCAAGAAGCTAGACTATATGAAGAAGAACGTGGCATCAGAATAGGAGGAAAACTCCTCAGCAACCTGAGCTATGCAGATGACACAACCTTATTTGCTGAAAATCAGGAGTGCTCTAAATACTTGCAGAAAATCAGATTATAACCTTCAATATGGTTTACATCACAACATCAAGAAAACAAAAATCCTCACCACAAGGCCAACAGGAAACATAATAGATGGAGGAGAGATAGAAATTATTTCATCTTGCTTGAATCCACAATGTACACTCTTGGTATTAGCGTCCAGAAAAGCAAAAGGCATATTGTACTGGGAAAGTCAGCTGTCAGAGAACTCTCCAAAGTGCTGAAAAGCAAAGATGTCAGTTTGAAGACTAAGGTGCACCTGACCCAAACCATAATCTTGTGCATTACTTTCTATGCAGCTGAAAGTTGACAATAAA